GATAAGGAAATGATTCCTTTCAGATAAGGTTATCGACCGCGGCGGACGTTTGGTTACGAGCCTAAAGTTACAATTACCAAACAAATTACCCAAAATACACTACCTAACTCTTTAAATAAACATTTTAGTTTATATATGACCATTAGGGATGCGTTGCCCGTCCACCAAAAATGTCCTAGCAGTCATTAGATCTTGAACAACTGAAATCTGCTCCACGCTATTTTCCGGCGAAGTTAGGCTGTCTATTGTCCGCCATATCGAAACTTACAGAAAAAGAGCGATGAATGCTGAGCGCCCGAAGAAACAGCAGGGTAGGGCACAACTTTCTGTGGCCACGTGACCCTTCTTGGCTTTTTGCAGCGACAAGAGTAACTGTATATGCTCCGCATGTGGAGCAGAGTATCGTTTTCTTGCATAATTATTTATTGAGAACAAACGTTCCGGTGCTCTTTGAGCGTTTAATTTCTTAATCACGCGACAAAAAAAAAAAAAAAAAAAAAAAAAAAAAACGAAAAGTGCCAGGTGGACATCTCGTAGCCCGTTTGCATTTCTCTAACTGTTTATATTTGTCTAGCGTCTCGTGATATTCGTCTTTTAAACTGAAATAGCAACACGGCCCTTCATGGTGGTGCTGCAATTGCAGTTTAAAAGACAATCAATAAAAAAAAAAAAGTTTAATTCACATGTTTTGGTTCATCGTCCAACTTATCGTGACTGTTCCGCCAACCCTGATAAGGTCGCGTTGAAAACCGCACCCATGTAACTCTCAACGTTTTCTTTTTTTATCATTTCGAATTAAAAACAAACACCTCTTACATTGGCAACTGCACGTTGTTTTACTGCTTTCTATAACAACTTATTCGTGTTTTTTTTTTGTTTTTTTTCATTTACAACGTTTTGTAAGGCTTTGTTTTCTTCATCTGTATTATCAGCTCTTGAGAAGTGCAAAAGGATTGCAGGAAAAGTTTCAAAACACCACGTGCGCGCAAACCGATGTGGGTGATAAATCCGAGCGTGGTTTTACAGCGCAAGCATTTTTTTGATGGCGTGGCGTTCGTGCTTATTCCCTGGACATGCTGTACCTGCGTATGTCATAAATATGTGCCGCGCTTGGAATGCCGACCCCATCTTCGAGCTGTTGGGCGGGGGACAATAATATATATATATATATATATATATATATATATGTATATATATATATATATATATATATATATATGTATGTATATATATGCAAGTATGCCATCTCCTGACGAAGCCCAGCCTCTCGGCGAAACTGTCGTAATAGATACAATAAACTCCTAGCATAGCAACTCCGCAAGTACGGATTTCTGGCAACGCTCTGTCAAAGAAAAAAGTTTGAATGTCATACGTTAAAGGTTTCATCTGAAAATTAATTGTGAATCTTCGTGCATAATCGTCAAAGGTGACAAGTTTGGCTATTTAAAGAAAATACTATTATGAGTAGAATGTAAAACTCTAGACGACATAATCCTCAGTAATACGTGGATGACCACAAAATAATATAAGGGCTCTGATCTTAGTAGTATAGAACCGAACGAGCTTCAAACATGTTGCAGGCGACAGCGGTCGAAACTACATTGTTCTTCCCTACACATTTGGGAATTTATTTCTCCAAAACTAAAACTTTCCGACGATTAAAATGAAAAGCGTTTCTCTTGGTAAAGTATGCGGCACAATATATAAAAATATAAAAGAAACGGTTCCCATCCACTGCCTGAAGCTGAATGAAACCGGCCATATCTATATAGAATTAATGTTATGTGAAGGAACATATAAGGTCATATAAGAACTTAAATAGGCCTCATATAATTAACGTAAGTTATGATGTGCGTAATGAACATTATGTATAACATATTTATTTTTTCTATGGGGATATTGAAACCGCAGTTCTCACATTAAAAAGTTCATATCGGTTACGATGGCGTGCTTAATCAGTTTCATTGGTTTATCTGAATACATGTGCAATTTTTCTAAGACATCGAACTAGTTCATTCATTTCGTATCCCAAACAAGAGATATGCAAAACTATTCTTATTTACATCTGTTATTTTTTTAATTCCACTATAACAAAGATGATCAACATTCGCATGTCTTATATTAAATTCCCTTAACTCGCGAACGTACTTCCTCCGTCATCGGGGCACTTTTATTTAAAAGTAAAACAGACAAGCTAATTATGATATTACAAACGAAACATTAGCGCCGATACTTTATCTTCAATGTTCTTTAACGCACGAAATGCAATATTTTAGAAGCGATCGTTTAAATTCCTTTAGAAGACATTGAACAGTCGTTTTGTGGAGTAAGCACGAACTTCTTGTTTAATCATTTTGCAGCTAAATTTAGCTGCGAACTGCATGAAGAGACCGGCAGGACGGAGAACTGTCTTCGAGTGGGGGATTCTATAATAAGCAATTTCGTGCTTCGAACATTTTATTTTTCGATTAGAATTGTCTTTTTTTTATTTAGATTATTCAGCACAAAGCCACGGTAGCGCCGACCGGGACGACGATTTCGGAATGATAATCTTCGTCTAATCTGGCACTCTATCCTTCCCACGTCAGCTTACGGGTTGTGATCCTCGCAGACACTGACTCCTGTCGGTTCCTCAATCCGCGACAAGGATTGAGGAAGGTCTTCGGACGGCAAATGTAGAGGCATACGTCTTCTCGACATCTTTATTTCTTCTCGAGAACTTCCTTTGTCCCAGAGACAAAGTGTACGCTCGCCCACCCGCGCGAATATTTCAACCGTGGGATGAACGAAAGTAAACAGCGTCTCTCCTTTCTGTCCTTGGATTGAGATGTGACTGCGTCGCACGTTTTGGACAGCGACTCCCTTATGAATGCCCCACGCGTTCAGGACATCACGCGCTTGGCTTTCTCCAATTTGCCTAACGTCAACAACGTCGTCTCATATCAACAATACCGTGTCTAGCGTCTATAGCGTCTAGTGTCTCTTGAGCTTGACCCCGTCGCATTGAGTAGAGCAAACGACGTCGTCTCACATCAACAATGTGCTACCGCCCTTCGTTCAGAAGATTATGCGCTTGACCCTATCGCACTGCCTATATAATGTCAACAACACCGTCTAACTACGACGATGTGCTTCCCTGCATAGCGTTTAGAACATTATACGCTTGAGAAAAAGCATTGTCTAATATCAACAATGCGCTACGCTTCCTAGAGTTTAGATCATTAATCGACTGACTCTATCACATTGCTTGATATAAATAATATTCTATAATGTCAACAATTCACTATGTTCTTGAGCGTCGACGACAAGATGCGCTGACCCTTTATCACATCGCCTAATCTCAACAACATTGTCTAATGTGAACAATGCGCTACGGACCCTAGTGTTTAGTACGTCATAACGTGATGCGGTTGACCCTATTGCATTGCCTATTTCTACAACATATCGTCTAATGTGAATAATGCGCCCCCCGCCTAGAGTTTAGAACGTCATGCACTTGGCCTTATCTCACTGCCTGAAGCCAACAATGTGCTACCCGCCTAGTGACTAGAACGTCATGCGCTTAAACCCATGACATCCCCTAATGCCCCCACACCGTTTAATGCCAACAATGTGCTACCCTGACTAGCGGTTAAAGCTGTCTTGAGCCTGACCCTATCGTATCGCCTAGTGCCAACAACATCGTATAATGTCAACGTTGTGATACCCTGCCTAGCGGTTAAATATGCCATGAGCCTGACCCTATCGCATCGCCTAGTATCAACAACATCGTCTAATGTCAGCGCTGCGCGACTCCGCCTAGCGTATGACGGTTGATTCTAAATAAGGTTTTGTTTGTTAGAAGGCTCAAATGACATGCGTACAAAGGCAGAGGGCTCACGTGGCGGAGATAACGGAATTTAGGCCTATTAGTGGGGCTCTTTCGTCCTTCCTGGTCTGATAAGGAGCAGCTTTGATCACAAACGAAGTCGCTTTCGCGGTTTTGTTGAGCCAATGAGGCCGTTTATTTAGAATGATTATATATACATATACATTAGTCAGCCATCGGGTTGAAGTACTGGTTCCCGACTCTGTACCTCAAAAGTAGAGGTCAGTTAATATACGCAGTATGAACATCCGCTACGAAGTGACGTCGCGCATTATAAGCGGACCAGTTCGCATAATGTGTGCACCTGCCAAGCCCGATTCACATTATGCGATTTTCTTTGAGACTTCGCAGCTGAGGCGTCGTTTGTGTTGCAAAAAAAAAAAAAAAAATGTGTGGTGGAAGCTGCGGTGAACGATGTTGGAATTGCGAAATCGAGAGCAAACTCGAGCTTCACTCATGGGCGCCTTCTCACACCCCTAAGCCCCACAAGGTCAACTTTTTTTTATGCAGAAAACGGCACATGAAAGCCTCTTATAGGGAAAATATATTTAATGTTTGGCCATTTGGCAAATATTAGGTAAACAAATAGTATCTCAACAACGCTTCGCTCGAGACACATCACATCAGTCCGCAGCGTCATCCGTCTGCAAGCCTCCCCTTCCCCCCCCCCCCCCCTTCCCCAGCCACCCCTTCCCAAGATTGACTCATAAATCGCTCCCTGGCTTTATAAGGATCAAACCTCGCTCTTGCGACACTATCCTACCAGTCAATCTCAGTGTAAACAAACCTGCTAAAACAAAGCTGTTGTCCAGAGACAAGCTTATTCGTCGCACATGACTCAGACAGTAACGCTCAATACCAGTTCAAAAAGCGAACAGCTTGACCTGGCGAGAAGTAAACAACCTATCAAAAATTTCGCAACCGAACACACCAACAAAGAAAAAAGAAAGTTGGTTTGGCGGCCGGTTCTGAAGAAAGTGAAATGCCCCCAATTGGGGGGGGGGAAGAGGCAACGTTCGTCGCGGTCTCCGACTCGCAGTTCTTGTTCAAGGTCAGCCGTTTCCGATCGCGGCCGCGCGATTGCACGCGCATAAAAGAAAAACAAAACAAAAAAAAACTAGCCGCTCCACCGACCGCCGGCGGCCATCTTGCGTCTTAGTAATAGTTCAGCGGAAGGAGGCGAGGCCGATCCTAAACTGGTTTTGCGTCTCCCTGCAGGCAGTGCCTCCGAAAAGCAAGAACGGAACGTCAGCTGGTCGCACGTCAGCGGTGCTGTGCTCACTGTGGCTACACCGAGGGATTGTAGGGCCACCCTTGGGCTAAAGCAGACGAAACGCACGCCGCGAGGTACGGCGAAGTTGCCAGGCGAGCGCCGGAAGTGTGTCTGACGGCGGCTGGGTTCGCCCGTGTTGGCTCCGAGACAAGAACCGCGGCGAAAACTTTCCTCGGTTCCGTTCGTGCCGAGAGCAGCTGGGAGCGGCCGGGAAAGCCAAGAATCTGCAGGGAGAGGAAGTGAGTGACTGGGGTCTGTCTGTGTGTATGTGGGTGTGTGGGTGTATGTGTGTGTGTTTGTTGCTCTGAGTGAATGGCGTCTGTGTGTGTGTGTTGTTCGGGGTCGTGCTTCTGTGTTTTGCTGTGAGGGACTGGAGAGTGCGAGTGTTGTTTGTGTGTGTCTGTGCTTATTTGGGTTTCTGGTGTTCGTGTGTGTGTAGTACTTGTGTGACTTTTGATGTGTGTGACAGGAGTGTGCACGTATGTGTGTGTTTGTTTTACTGTGAGTGAGGAGTGTATGTGTGTGTGTCGTTTGTGGTCGTGTGGCTGTATTTTACTGTGAGTGACTGGAGAGTGCATGTTGCTTGTGTGTGTTGGAGGTGTTTCTGTGTGTGTCGGCTTATATGGGTACTGGTGTGTGTCTTTGTGTGTGCTGCTGTGAGTGACTGGCGTCTGTGTGTTTGTGTTGTTCGGGGATGTGTATCTATGTTTTGCTGTGAGTTACTGGAGAGTACGAGTGTTGCTTGTTTGTGTCAAGCGGTTTTATGTGTGTCTGCTTATTTGGGCTACTGGTGTGCCCATATGGTGTGTGGTGTTTGTGTGACAGGAATGTGTGTGTGTGTGTTGCTGTGAGTAACTGGTTTCTGTGTGTCTGTATTTTGTGGTTGTGTGTCTGTGTTTTGCTGTAAATGACTGGAGAGTTCGTGTTGCTTGTGTGCGCGAGAGATATTTCTTTGCGTGTCTGCTTATGTGGGTTACTGGTGTATATATGTTTGTCGTAGGTGTGTGTGTGTGTGTGTGCGTGTGTGTTACTACCGTAGTTTGCTGCGCTTGCCGTTTTTTTTTTTTTTTTCTTACCTTGTGCTTTAAAATTGAAGGCTGCTGCCGCTCGTTGCAGAACTCTTCCGTTTACGCCTGACCGACTGCGAGGACAAAAAAGGCTCGCTCGTCTGCGGCACCTTAAATTAGGGTGTGTGTTCGTGGAAGTGGGCGTACGTTGTCGAGTTATGGCGGGGCAGTTTCCTTCACGCGTTCCTTCTTGTCTAGACTTCCACGCGGCAATGCTTACAAAGAGCTACGACTGTGCGCACCGAGCGCGAGAACTACTAAGATGTTAGAATACGCCTTTAAAATGGACGTACGTGTCCCGGAGAGAGAGAGAGAGAGAGAGAGAGGTATTGCAAAAGAGGAAATACCAAAGTTGGAGTTACAGCCATGGGCCGAACGGTCATCGTTGGGTTGGGGGAGGGGGAAGGGGGTAAAAGGTGATAGAAGAAAAAATTTTGAAAAGGAGAGGAGGGGTGTTTTTCGCCGAAGCCGACAAGCGGGGCACGAGGAGCCACAAGAGCAGCTGAAGGAAAGCGGGCAGAGCCGAGAGGAGGGAAAACCCCAAGAAATGTCCAAGAGTCTTGTCCAGAAGTCCGGTGCACGCAGAGCGCACCTTCATAGTATCCAGGGAAGGCGAGTCGAGGGTCGGCAGACGGTGTCCGAGTTTTCCAAGTACTGTCACCAATCACACCAGCGCCAAGCATTCCAGTATTCCGAGCCAAAGTGCAATGGGTCGGCAACCCGGTATCTCCGCTACTCCCTGTTGCGAAAGGATTGCGGGGAACATTAATAGATTCCGTTCCCTCGATAGGGACGGTCGAGCCTATTGTGTGCATAAGGGACATTCCTCAGAGTGCCAAGGAGTGACATTTTTTGCTTGTATTTGGCCATTAGCGCGTGGTATACCAAACGCAAAGGTAGAAATCACAAGTATGGCATTTTCTGAAAATGCATGGCCCTTGGCATGCCTTGGGTGTACGAGTTTCCGAATCTATCCCGGTAGTTTACCGTGTATTATATATGCTTTCATATCTTGCTTAAGGTTTCCAAGATATTCTACCCCCCCCCCCCCCCACGCCCCCTTAAAGGGACACTGACACCCGCCAAAAAAATTTTTTCATTTTTTGCCAGGCGCTTTATTATGATGTCGGAGGACTACCCAATTAATATTTTGCAGCAGAGTAGCGTATTTTTTTAATAAAGCCAAAAGACCCAACTGCTCCAAACCGAAACCGAAACCCGACGGAGGTCGGAGAAGTGGAGAGAAGAAAGTGAGTGACGGAAGTCATGTGGCTACACCCGACCGTGCATTTTTTTGTTTTCCTCTTCGTAGCAGACTACACGACATGCGGCGTGCGATGCGGCGTGGAGGAACTGCTCGCCGTGCGATTCTTTTGCAGTTATGCTTGTTCCGCTCGTTGTTCTGTACTCCAAGATGAGTTGTTCTGTACATTGAGGAGTTAGAGATGAGTAGTGCCCGTGGTGAATTTCCATGATCGGCTTGGAAAAGAATGCACCCAAGATGTTGCGTGAAGAGCTGCCTCGCATGTCCTGCGTCCGAAAAAAAAGGGGCATTGCGCGACAGAGTTTCCGAAAGATCAACGGGATCGGGACCAATGGCTGGCTGCGATTCCTGTAGAACATATACGGGCACCTCGGAAAGCGGACGCTACCTGATTTATATGCTCCTTGCATTTTGTGGAAAGTGATTACATTAAGTTCGCAGGTGTCAAAACGGAAATCCCATACCATTTAATTCAGCGAAGTATCGTCCACAACATTTGTTTGTTACGTTTTTGTTTGTTTCTTCAGTGATGATTATAAAAAAAAAAAAGAAAAAGATATGTAAACACCAAAAAATGTTTGAAAAAAAAAAAAAATAATGTGTCACGGGGAATCGAACCCGGACCTACCGCGTTTAAACCGGACGTCTTTCCCACTGAGCTACTGGGGCATCTCTTTTGTGCTGAATCTCTTTCCTTAGTAATAATTCAGCCGGTAAACTGTAAGTTGGAAAGTTTGCTGTCGATTTTTCTCTCACAAAAGCACTCCCGGGTCGAAGTCGGGAAGCACCACGCCTTGGGGACATTCGCACCTAGTAAAGAAATCGTACGCGTGCATATTGAACTCGAAGTAGACACGTCGTGCTTGACGTTTGCGCGAGCGATGTCTTCAGCCACGAGAAGGGAGCGACGGCTCGGCGACGTCTTCGTGCAAATCGGCTTGGTGGCCGGGCGTGTCGTACGGGATGAATACCAATTCTTTTGACCAGTCCCAAATTTCTCTTTTAAAGGCATACAAAATTCGCCGGTACCGCGAACGACAGTTCTGAAATAGAGATCCCACGCCCGTCGTCCACTGCCATCGCCGTCCCCGCGAGTCTCACGATACGCGAAACGACGAACACACAGAATGCTTCCGGTTGTCTGTGGGACTTTTTTTTTCAATCAACGTATTTACAGCTTTTTAGAAGCCACAAAAAATGGGTCTCATATTTTTTTCTATTTTTAATATTGAGTGTGTGCCTTCAGTGACCCACGACTTTGATTAAATTTGGTGGTCGCATCGATACCTTAGAAAACGGCCCGTGACCGCAAAAAAGAGAGTGAGCGAGACTCGAACCGGCCAGTTCTTGATCGGCGGTTTTCGGGTGGAAAGAAACCGAATTTCGAGCCGCAAATTCTGTTCTGGGTAGTTGAGCTCTCATAGGTCACGTACAACTAAAAACCTCGGCGAGCATGAATACCCTGTCAGTGTCCCTTTAAAGATCGCTTTTGCTCTTCGCTGGGCGAAGCTAGTGAAGGGCGATTTGGCGACCTTCGCTTCAAGGGCAGTTGGGTTTCTATGCGCGCTTTTCATCGGCTGATATGTTTTCATTTTTACTGTGCATAGAAGACTGGTCTGTAGTAAAGCCATTTTTTTTTTTCTTTTCACGGTAAAGGGCGATACACCGTTCTCACTTTGGGTGACAAAATTGCACTAGATAGCAGCGTCTTCTAATTCTGGCCCCGATATTAAGGCTGCGGCCACAAGGCAGTCATCTAGAATAGCTACAAAACGGATTTTAGTTTTGAAAAGAAGTCTACAAACACATACTCAGAGGTACTTTGTTAACTTATATTTTGTGTCCGGGATTCTCGGGCAAGTCTTTTAATTAGATTATTATTGAATAAATATTGCCACAGACTTCTAATTGATTTCCTGTAAAGATAAAGTTAGGAGGGTGATTTTTTCACATCGCATACTCAGTATTTTTACGAAGAAATGGACGAGAGGTTTTACGACCATTTTATTTCAAAGCGTCTCTTAAAAGACAACTAATTGGTTCCGCAAAACAAAGCAGCCCTTTCTGAACGGTGCAATGTTTTCGTGGCCTTTTGATAACAGATTTGAAGGGTAGGTGATCACAGTGGCCTGCTTCTTAGTAATATGAGGAAACTAGAGTGTGCAGAATTACTGTCTCTGCCCAGTTCCTAATTACGTGTTGTAACGAATAAAAACAATAATCGTGAGCTTATTCGCCACCTCTATGCGGATGTTGCTCCACGTTAGGCGCCAGATTGGTTGTACGCCAAATATGAGCTCTGAATGTGAGGTCAGTCGTCCTTCTGTATGGTTGGCCAATTTCAGTTTTGGAGGTCGTTTTCGCTTGCGCGTGTTCTGGGACATCTGTTGACCGGTACTAAGTAGATAATGCACAAAAAAAATATATCGCCGCGAAGGTAATTTGAACAGGAAAAAAGGGGCAGTGCCAATGCCGTTCTCCGTTCCGGCTCTGCGCCTTGATCGCTAGCATTCAACCACTTCCTCTAATTTTGCGTTATTGGTAAGCTTGCCCGGGGTTATCAACCGTATTATCATCACCAAGTCTGATGTATTTTTTGTGCTCATACACGTGATTTAATAAGAGGGAATACGTCTGCATCTGATCTGTCCATGAACAATTCGTCAGACAAAAGCGCACGACGCGTTCTTGACGCTCGCATACAAATGTTTTCTAAGGCTGAATAGACACGTGCAAGTTTGCAAAACAAATTGCAAAAGAAGTAACAATCTCTTTTACGCTTTAAAGATACTCCGCCTTCCTTTGGTATGCAGTATACACGATGACTGTTCAATTAATTTGCCTCCTAGACTGAGGTCTCTATCTTATTTATGCAATTATGAAATTAAAAAAAAAAATTCTATTCAAT